TGTCTTCTTTCAACTTCCGTCGAAGACGTTTCATAGGCCCACAACGGGGCCAACTTGATGAGCTTCCAAGGAATCCTCCTCCAAAGGCAGTAAAGTGACCCAGTCCAAATCCATCTTGGAAGCAGGAACACGAAAGATGTCAGCAGCTTGAAGAACGACATTGTCAAAAAGGCTCTCATTGCAACGAGACCCCTTGTAGGCTTGGATCTTCTCCAATCCGAACCTCTAGACTTCTGAAAGCTTTGTCCACTTCATATTATCCTTCTTGATCTCCGGCCACAAAGGACAAGCCATAATAGGATCAACCCCAAAAACAAAGAGAAACTTCTCCCTCCATTTATTATTTGTGTCAAGGATATTGAAAACCAAGCGATAACCACCCATCGTCCCACCGTCTGCAAATAAAAGTGGCCCTCCCTCTTCCTAGACTTGGCATAAAGTAGATAGACAGAAATTCTCATTGCTGGCTCAACGTGGATCCTATGGTAGATGACAAGGAAGTCGACGATAAGAGCAATTGAGTTCAGCTTTAGTTGCACAGGAGAGATCCCCAACGCTTTGAACACTAGCCGGACGAACGGATGAAGTGATCATCAATGACTAAGAAACTTAGTGGACGTCCACTTAAGTTGACATAAGTTTTCCTATATATATATATATATATATATACTATATATATATATACATATATATATATATATATACATATATATATATATATATACACACACACACGTGGCGTGATCTAAACGGTTAGGTCGGTGACCTAAAAGATCGCTAATGGTTTACAAAAGTGAAAGCGACTCTTCATCGATCGAAACATGTGCACAATAACCAAGGCGCCACTCCATCAAAAGTACTGCACAATCTCTGTTGACGTCACCTTATCACGTCATAGAAGTCGTCTAAGAAAGGTGACCCAAATCCTAAACGAAAAAGAGCTAGATCTATTATATTTCTCTCGAACTTGGCTTCCTGAGTCCAAGTGAAAGGGGTTAGTGTTGTACCCTAAAAATTACTAAGTATAATAGACCCTCTTTAGGCGGTCGTGTGTCATGTTTGACTGGCCTACCTTCCCCAAATCTAAAAACCTAATCCAGGTATGCACATGACCTATTTATTTTTGAGATGCAGGTCCGAGGCATCTTCGGGTCCGTCTCTCGACCCGGACCCAAGAAGAAAAGCACTTTCAGGCTGGGATCTGCACAAGAGTCGGGAATTCCAAGACGAATGACATCTTTCACTCAACTTCACTGCGGAATATCTCGAACGACAAATTGACCTATCAGCTTCACCATGCTTAGCTACGTAGTCCAGTCGCCATCATATTTAATGTGTGGTTAGGGTCATTATAACTCCCCCGTCGGAGTCATAATGACTCTTCGGATAACGCCAACAATTCAGCCACCCCGTCACCGTCGCATCAAATGCGAGGATGACTTGCTTGCTCTGTGACTGACATGTGCAAAGCACCATTTGATCACTCATCCACACCAACCCGGTCAGATTGTTATAAAAGGGATGATTTCTTTTGCACGAAGGTACAAGCAATCTTGGCCATAAAATGCTCAAAAACTAAATTCAGGGTTTTGGACCATTTAATTAATAACTGAATTGAGCATTGGAGAGCCCATCGAGAAATCCAATTCCGATCGTCTAACGGCATTATTGTGTGCAGAATCTCTATTTGAGGTCATAATCAGCTATCAAAGGAGATAGAAGAACCCTAAACTCCCCCCATATCTCCAAATTAACCAACTGACATCAACGTATACCTAAAGATTTCTGACTAGGATTCTATTACAAATATGCTACTTGTTGGTGCTCACGCTTCTGTGTTCAAGTCTTTATAAGCTTTCACACACGTCATTAAATATGTTCTTCATATGCTATCCTCTATATATTTCAAAGAGCGCAAAAGATAAAGTAGCTTGCTTTTGCCGAATATAAGCTTTCCCTGTGGCGTCAAAATATTTATCAAACGTCACTTTCTTTGCACAAAATCAATGATAAACCTGAATTTCTCAATGCAACTTATAGGAAAAATCACGAGTTGATAACTCAACAACTGAGAATAAAAGATTGGACAAAATTAGTATATTTCAACTATCAAGTGCAATTCAGTACAAGTTCAAAACCTCCCCTTTTATGGACAGGAGAAATCTATAGCCATCTTAAAGCGTTCACAGTAGAACAAAATCCTCAAGGCTGACAGTATTACCACTCCAATGTAACTGCTAGTTCAAGAAGATCCATTACCAGATGAATAGTCTGCTGCTTCTCCTGCTGTTTTAACCTGACTGCAACTGAATCAGGATCAAATCCCTCCGGGGTCTGTAGATTGGATTGCTCTGCTCGAACCTCTTGTAGCAAAGCATCGACTTCTCTGACGAAATCCACTCTTAGTAGCACATCGTCGTCTTCAGGTGGCAACTCTATTCTGCTTTGATGCTGTTGATGAGGATGCCAAATCAGATTAACGATATCTTCACTATCATTCAGTTCGACAACAACAACAACAACAAAGCCTTCATGCCAAAAATTTTTGGTTGGCTACATGAATTCTATTCTTTCAATCAGTTTCGTTAAGGGCTATCATATCCTTTTTTTCACCTGATTCTACTCTTAGGCCTATCTTTAGTCCTTTTTTTCTCCACAAATTATAATCTTATAGTTTCTCCAAATTGGTGCCTTTAATGGCCTCTGTCCTACATGACTAGACCATCTCAAACGGTTCTCTCTTATTTTATCCTCAATATAAGCAATCTCTAATTTCCTACAAAAGTAGTCTTCCTTATCCTATCTCTTATAGTGTATATGCAGTCGTCCATCATAATATTTTTATTTCTGCTACACTCGTCCATCGTAACATTCTTCACTATAATTTAATTCATGCCACAAAAATGAATGACAACTATGACAGGTTGGGTTAAAAGGAGACATTTGATTGACAATTAAGGTACAAAAAAATAATTGACCAAATTAGTGAATTATATAACTTGCATCCCTATTTCTTTCTAGTAATAACTGACGACACGTGACAAGAAGCAAGTTACTGCAAAATAGGTTAAGACGCAGAATCTCAACTTTTTAAAAAGAAATCTATCTCTCAGTTTCAGTAGTGTTGAAAACATTTTTCTTCAAGATCTATTCACTTTTGTTGCTCCCATTTGTGATAATCATCGCTCGACGATAGAGAAGTTATTGTCTTATAGAGGGCATTTAAAGGACCAAAATTTACAGATCACGTTTCTATAGATTGTGAATAATGGATCAGACATGCAAGAAAATCCAGTAAAAATATAATATTTTTTACTACCTAATAATAGTCTATTTCTTATAATAATATACCAATTAAACCTATTACGGGTCCCAACGATACATACATTTTCAATATCAAACCCAGCAGGAACAAGCATACTGAAAGGATCTTCTCGAGGGAAGGTATCAATCATTTGCTTCCTACATTTCTTCAACCACCCCTCGTGATCAAATCCATCGTGGAGGTTCAAAAGTTCATTAAGCAATCTCATGGCCGGTGAAGATTCTCTCTTCAAAATCTCCGTCTGAACTTGAAAATATCACCAAATTTTGTTGTAATGTGCAGTTAACAATTGCTAGATATCGCAATATCACAATTGAATATAAGTAGCTCAATGAAAATACCATACCTCTATCCTTCTATATAGGAGGTCTAGGCTTCTAATGACATCTTTCTCATCCTACACTCAGGAGAAAAAACTGAATTAAATTGCTTGCTCAGATGTCATTATGAAACTAGCTATACATAAACTATGAATCCATAAAAAGCATCGCCATGATATTAATATCAGAAAAAGAAAGAGTTGCATACATCTCTTCGAGCCAGATCGAGACGATTCCATATGATCATTAAAACAAGTTCGGTCAGCTCCCCTTTGTCAGCAGCCTCCTCGATTTTCTACACAAAAGGAATTATTTTTAAGAAAGTTGGTGGGTATAAGTCCCTCACAAGAAGGATTTAAGAAAATATATACAAAACAAGAAAAAGAATCCCGGTCTAACACAAGTCAGAATGCAACCTGCAAAAATGACAGTCTTTGTAAGTGGCAATGGATATTTATGTCCAAGAAACTACGCAAAGAAAATTACGCACCGTAGGGTGAGGATCAAGGATTACAATTTTATGCTCTGATATATTCCTGTAGCGAGCTTCGGTATCATTGACTGGTAGAGTCGAATAAATGGGGATTCAGTTATGGATTCATAAAAGATTTCGGCTCTCACCCTCTAATAACTAGCTTTTATGGGTGTGTTCTCGTGGTTGATAACAAATGGTACCAGAGCTGACCTCATCTTTTCAGTTAGTGACATGTTGGGGACTAGTCTAGTGCAAAGACAAGACAAAGGAGACAGACCGAGATTGTCGTGTTCAGTTAGGACTAGACTAGTGCACACCCAGCCTGTGTAGGCATGACGAGTAGAATCAACTGTGGGTTTATTAAAGATTGGTTTCCTTTATCTAACAGCTAGCTTTTAGCGGCGAGTTCTTCTAACTCTCTAACAAGAAAAGTGGTATTACCTCTTCAACCTCTTCAGCGGATCTAATAAAACTCGAAACCAACCGCCTCGCCTTGCACAGTTCCTCCTCAGGGTAATCCTTCAGCCGCATGCCTATCTCCCGGTACTCATCCTCCCTCCTGTTCTCTTCATCCTCTTCCTTCTTACGATAAGCATGCCACTTTTTGGTCTTCTCTCTCTGCTTCGCTTGCCATTCCTAAACCAAAACAAAGAACAGGTTTAGCCCACAACCTGTTCGACGAAATGCCAAAGCGAAGAGACTCACGTCATCGAAGAACTCCGCGCGGCATTCTTTGATAATTGGGCAGCATATGCCAAAGGACTCCCTGGTCTTCTGCGTAGCTGCAGAGATAGAGAGAGTTTAAAGAGAAGAACAAAGAAGGAAGAAGAGGAGATGGGCTGCGTTGAGGACCTGGGCATGGAGAGATGAGCCTTGGATTGGGATCGAAACAGAGAGGAGATGGGCGGAGGGGGAGATGGCGGGTTCTTGAGCTCGGCAATGGCGGGAGAGAAGTGAAGAGCGTGGGAGTTTGTGCAGAGATTGCGTGCATTGGTGATGGATGGTTTTAGTTTTGAGAGAGAAACGAGCGCAATTATTCCCTTCTCGGGCGATGAGATTTATAAATGAGGAATTTTTTTAGATGTCAGCCCTTCAAATCATTGAAATTGCTATTAGGTACACGATTAAGGTGGAAAACGAACCGAGTGATTATCAAACCGAGTGATTATCAAGTAGCTCGTTATTTGTTCATCTAACTATTCAGTCATATTTAGCTCGATCGATAGTTCATTCAATAGTAAATAAATAGTTTTTAGTGTTCGGTTAGAATTTAACTATATATATATTCCATTCGTTTGGTTATCATTAGGGTTTTATCCCTTACGATTTGTATCATTATACGCATGATATTAGATTTTTGGTTCATTTTACTTTATGTAATGTAATTTTTATACTAATTTTGGCATATTTATGTACGTTTCTGAATGAATTTTCTTTAACTAGGTAACAGTATGTGTTTAATCACATAATCTTATATTTACAAACTATAAATTCTTAATCTAATATACACAACTAATATTCGACAAATATTTGTTGATATTCAAAAAGTATTTGCATTTGAATTTATAAAATCTAAACAATTTCAAATACCAACACCTAGATATTCGTTTTCGGCTCAGATTTGTTTCCACCCTCCTAACTTGCCGCATAATAGCAATTTTCAATAAATTCATATTTGTTTCCTCCTTCATTCTCTCCCATCAGTGTCCCCTTATTCTTCCTCAAAATTCAAATGCCACAATCCCAAACGGCAGAATTCTATACCCTTGAGAGCAAAGTCAAATCTTAAAGGGTAGAATTCCTTTATTTTTTAGTGTCCCCTAGACATCAAAGCCAAATTTCATATTACCACTCTTAATTATCCGAGTTTCAGAATTTCATTTTTATTTGTTAATTTGTCATTCAATCAACATATATAGTCATCTATGCCTATTTCTGCCTAATTTCTTTTTAAAAAGGTGTATTTAACAAAATATGGATGGTTTGAGGGGTATTAGCCAGAAAACCCTCCTTTTTTTCTGGAGGTTTTCAACACAAACTTTGAGTTTGTGATATATTGAGCTTAATAGCCTATTCTTTGTTTTTATTAAAAAAACATATTCATATGAAAGCTTAAGGAAGAAACATGGTCGCTTGTGTGCAAGATATACTGACGCTGGCACCCTCCTCTATACAAATTTTACAACCATCAACAATTTGAGCGAGTCTAGCTATAACATATGCCACCTTGTTCCCCACACTCTTACATGACCAAAAAAAAAAACTATGAGGGGCATTGTCATATGAAGTTTCTGTTTTTGGGGCTTGGACATATTTTTCCCAAAATTTAAAAAATGGCCGGATATTCTATAGAAGATCTCTATCACTAAACACAAACTAGTATATTTTTTGCAATGGTCCAACAAGTTATTTAGACTCACTTTCAGCCTCTATTAAGAGAAATTAGAGTTTTTGTGCTTATTGAAGACCCTCTAAAAGAGCTTGAGCTTCCACGGCCAAAAGTGTTAACAATCCTCCTTCCTCCCTGTTATCAATGCATAAACCTCCCTTTGGTTTTCTCTAATCAAAGCTCCAAAACCAAGTTGATTAGAATTTTTGAACAAGGAGACATTAATATTAATCTTATTATTATTCTATTTTTTAACATTGTTTATGAGATTTTTAATAGTTTAAAGGGGTTTAATAGAATTTAAAAACTCTTGCCTAAAAAGTGCGGGAAAGTTTTGTGCAAACCTCCCAAATGTTAGAGGGGTTCGGTAAACTTTTACCATTACATTTTTGTTCTCGGTCGTATGACTCAGGCCTTTGACAGCAGAGGAAAAAGAAACGAAGGAGAAGGGAAAGCTCCATCCTCTTCTCTTTCTCTCTCTCTCTCTCTCCCTCCCTCCTCTTTGTCCTCTTTAAATTACAACTCAATTTCATTCGATTTTTTTTATTATTTTCTCCCTCGATTCATGGAACAGCTCGTGAATTTCATCATTCGGCCTCCGAGGTTCGGAATCTGTTGGTTTATTTTTTAAATTAGGTCATTTTTTTCTGTTTTTAGTATGCTTTCCTGATTAGGTTTTGTCTGGATTTTCCTTTCCATTTTCGGTAAAAAAGGGAATATTTGGTCATTTGTGTTCTATCTGAAGAGTAGAAGTTTTTTTTGAATTTAAATATTTGTTGGAGTTTTGATTGAGATTTGTGAACGACTGTCAGTTTTAGGTAAAGTAGAGCCAAAGGGTTAAAGTTTCTGAAATGGTGTATTAAATGGGTGACAAACTTGAAATGGGTCAAAACATTCTGGATTGGTTTGGTATGAAGAATGGATTCAGCCGGAGATGAAGAAGAAGATGATAGTGACTGTTGATTAGTTTGTGTAATCGCTACCGATATCTGCCTTTATTTCATTGGAGCTTGGTTTTGATTTGAGCTTTGGCAGTCAGTGTGGAGGGAAAACATAATTTTGATTATAGTTTGTAAGAAAGAAACCAAATGGGTCTGTATGGGATGCATTAAGGATGTTGGGGCCAACTTGATATTGTGGGATGGTTCCACAATTTTGTTTTTTTGAAGTAAGACAATCCTCGAGCACTATTTTGGTGAGTTCAAATGACATGTTTTCCATATGAAATTCAATCGATCTGTCTGTTGATCTACCTTTAGCTGTGGAGTCGGCAGGAGAATTACCTTCACGTAGACGGTATGAAACTCTTGAAACTTCAATCATGCTTAGCCATTCACGAACGTTCTTTATTAGAGCATTTATGGTTAAGGCTAGTGGTGCTGAAGGAGATGGAGGTGTTGGGAGTTGGATGTGTTTAGGAATTGGAGCCCATGTCAATCGCAATTAATGAGGCTTGATGGCTGTGATCAGTCTGACCCTTTTTTTAAAGGTACCTTTTGGAATTGAAACTAGTCTAGAATTTGGCTGTTTGATCTTTAAGGTTTTGATACCATGATAAGAATTAGAAATTAGGCGGAAATTAGTGACATGTCTAGTGCATCTCTCTCTTCTGATTTAAAATATCCTTTTCTTATTACATAAAATCTTCTACTAATATATTTTTTAACACCATCTATGCCATATTTAGCAACACCTTCGAGTGTTGAGAACTGGGAGAGGAACATTCTCCTCTGTTTAAGTCTCATTGTAAAGTTGTGTTCATTGTAGAGTTTGATTTTGCATGTAATTGTGGTTTCACTTCATGCATCATCATCACCGCATTCTCTTGAATTGGCCTTAGTAACTCTTGTTAGGCTTCTAAAAACCCTCCCCAAATTATTCATAAAAATTCCTCGCAACATGTCCCCAACCTCAATTTTCTGTTTGCTATGCCATCTTTGCTTTTCTGGCCTATTCAACTTTCTAAAGCATATAATAAAAGTGCTACATCATATTTGCTTAACTGGCACATTCAACTTCTCAAGCACGTCTAGACGTAGATCCACCTCGGAATGCTCACAATACCATCCCAAAACTGTATTGAATTTCTTATTTGATTTGCCTTGATTATCAACAGGATATGATTGTGTCATGTCACAAAAATTTGAATTTGGATTCTCCATTATTGCACAATCCTCACCTTTAATAACATCATTACTTCATTAGTTTCTATTGAACTATCCTTGCCTAGAACTGTCAAGGTATGAGCCCCTGGATCCCTCAATCATCTTAGTTGGTGCCTCATAAATGACCCTATTGCTTATTGCAACATGTAGTTGATCCTGATAAACCAAATCCATAACACCACTCAACTATCAATTCACTATTATTTTCTTATTTTTATTTTTCCTGTTCTTTGATTTCTGTAGTACTTGGCTCTACCAAACTTCATGCATGGATGCAAGCTTCCACCCTGATTGTCTTGATTTGGCACCATGTGAGCCTTATTGACAAACTGGATCCAGATTGCTTGGTTGTCTATTTGTTTGCCCTAATGCACCCAAACCTACACAGTGCTCAATGTCCGAATTACTTGGCTTACCCAACTTTATCCATGGACGTAAGCTTCAACCCTGATTGTCTTGATCTGGTACCATGCGAGCTTTATTGACAAACTAGATCCAGATTGTTTGGTTGTCTCTTTGTTGGTCCTAGTGCACTCAAACCTTCACCCTTCTCAATGCTTGAATTACAGATCACCCCTTCCTCACTCCACCGGCAATACAAGTCTCATCGCTACTATGCGCCGCTAATAACTGAATTGTTGTAGCTACAATGCGACCTACAGCCACCAGCAGCCATAATGCTTGAAATGCTTCGATTTATCTGTTCCAGAGAGCGTTTTAGCAGGGTGAAGAGGACTCTTTTTTCCTAATGTTTTTGAGTAAGTCAACAATAAGCTAATAAGTTCTTTAACAAACACCCATAGCCACCTACAACTTACCCAAAACTTGTACATTGGGTACAATCGTAAATTATTACTAATCCATAAGATACAGGCTAAAAGCAACTTCAAGCATCTCCAGCGGCAACTTTAGGAGAAAATGTTGTTTCAAACCTCATGCACAATGGCCATAGAATCGTAGAGCTCAACTTTTAGGGAGAAGAGGATATTTTTTTTCTTGAGTGGTGTTGGAGTTATTCTCAGAGAGGTGACGAGAAGTAGGTGCTGATGAAACTTGTGAAGGAACAAGGTTGTGAACTTAATATTGGGATGGGTTTGACTAACTGGAGATGGAAAAACGTTACTTTTTTGGGTTTGAAGATTGTGTTTGACTATGGGTATAGAGAGAGCGTTTGGGTAGTGATTATTGGAATCTGAAGGAAGAAGATAGGAACATGATAGGGAAGTGAGAAAAAGCAATAGTAGTTACTTTAAGGAGGTTTATACAAACGGATCTAGACTAGTGGACTGATTTGATGTAACTTAGCAGTTAGGGGGACTTTATCATAATATCAAGGTTTGAGGGACTTATTTCAGAATACGTGAGTTTTGGGGGACCAATAGCTGAAAACCCCAAAAGAAATTTATAACTTGTGCAATAGATGTCAAAACTTAGGAATGAAGTGTTTGCAAGATACAATTGCCATGTAAGGGATATAATTTATGAACTCCTGGCACATCTGTCTGCGTTGCCTGGTCTGCCATTCAACTATTTTCCCCTACAGGCTACAGCTAAAATTTAAAGATTTCTAACATTGCATAGTCGAACTTCATAGAAAGACCATGGATCAAAGAAGAGAAGAAGTCACTATTGGGAGAAGCTATAATGATCAAGGTTTTAAATATCGGTTATCGGGAATTTATCGGACGACCAAAATTCTTATCGGATAGCGGAAATCGGGGATATATCGGGGATAAGTAGTATTTATCGGAGTGATATACTAGATGGTGTATATATATAATTTAATAACTAAAAAATGTAATCTAACCATGCTTAATGAAATATAAACATACCAAAATGTAAATCATCATGTTTAGAATCACTAACCAATTGTAGAAAGCAAAACTTGCATCTTGACCGCACGATGAAACCATTCGATTGCATAGCCTTACTTATCGGCCGATAATCCCGATAAAAAAACCTTACTTATCGGCCGATAAGTACCGATAACGCCGATAACTGGATGGTGGAGTCATGTCTTTTTTAGCTTATCTTGATTAATTGTAGCCAAATATATCTATATCTCAATGTTATGCCTTTATAAAAGATAAAACTATGTATATCGTCATGCTATCATGCTGATGTAACCTAGACAAAAGAAACTACAGAACAATACAAAACTTGCCATAAACTGCAGTAAGCCAGGGGCATGGAGGAAAACCTTGACAATGTGAATACAATAATATATTTATAACAAAATATTCATAGAAATTTATACCATTCAAAAACATCTGTACAGATAGTGAGGATGATTTTTTATGTTTCTTATTAATTTATGCCCTTGTCCTAACTTTTTTAGTCTGTTTAAGCTGCAACTTTATAAGAACAGAACCTTTCTTTTTCCCTTATGCTTCTCTTTCCATATATTTTTCTAAAGGATATACCACTTTTTTGCACCTCAGAGCTGATTATAGCCCGATAGATGATTTGCTGGATCAAGAGTTTATGCTGAAGGGACGATGGTATCAGAGAAAAGACTTGGAGGTATCAGTATTCTAATATCTCAAACTTGTTTTTTTGGCTTACATGTATTGGTTGCTGTGGAGAAAATTTAATGTTATCTTTTCTAATTGTGGAAGTATACAAAGTGGCTTTATTAAACTTCAATACTAAAATACAAATCTGGTTTTCTTTTAGGCTATGTTTGGTTTGAGAGAAAGGGAGAGAAAAGAAAAGAAAATAGAAAGTAAAAGGAAAGGAAAAGAAAAAGAAAAGAAAATGATATTCCTTTTATTGTTTGGTTAGAAAGAATATTGTAATGAAAGTTAGAAGAAAATTCATAAGAAAGTCATTTTCTCTCATTTGGTTACATTTCTAAGAAAAAAGAAGAAAATTATCACAACATAATTTTAATTCATACTTTTTAGAATTAGGTTTAGATTTTAAATAATTTACAAAAAATAATTAAATTAAATTGTGATTCTATTCTATCATATTTTTATAAAATTTGTAAGTTACTGAACATGTTTGCACAATCTTAACTTAAGAAAATTGAGTCAAATATACGATGACTCTAATTTGCATATAATCTTACATGGTTTTGGACTTGCTAGTTATTCAAAACAATGCAGTTCAAGCATAATTATTCAAAATTAGTATCATTCATATCATGGGAAATAACAAGTTAATAAACACATGTTAACAAAAGGCAATTTCTTAACACAAAAATTTGAGTGACGATCAACATCTAGTTTGTAAATATTAACAAGCAGAAGCACAACTACAATTCCACTAATTAGAGAACAACATTTCTCACACATAATATTTACAGAAAGAAAGGCCAATGAAAGAACCAAAGGAAATTTAAAGTAAATGTCGTGATATTCCTAATATAAAGTAAAATCCATTTCTATTCGCACAGTCTATTACAATTAATTTCATATAGAAAATCTTAACCAACAAAGTCTATTACAATCAATTTAATATAGAAAATCTTAACCAAAGAGAGAGAGAAATATGCCGAAGTCCTTGATTTTTGACTTTAGTAGCTCATTAAAACATCAATCTCATATCCTTCATCCCCTGAAATTAATTCAAAAAAATTCAAATAAGTACAATATAAACATCAAAAACCTATAAAATGAAGTCTCGGCATGCTTTTAGAAGAAAAATGAAACTACCGCTCGTCGTGTCATGATTCCTTTCTTAAGACTAATCATCAGAATCCTAAAACATGACAACAAAGATGCTTCAACTAATTTTTCTCAAGCGCTAAATGGTGAAACAACTACAAGAGTTATAAACAGATTTTAAATGTCGTCCGACATGTCCAACATGTCCGACATGTCGGTTTGAGGGCTTGAGCGATATGACATGGACGTTTTCAACTCGTATGTTGGTTTTCAGGACCAAATCGGTAATATCGGGGCCATATCGGGCATATTGGCCTATTTTTTAGCCTTGAAAAATTGACCAATATGATCCTTTTTTTAGATTTGTTTTTTATTATTGGGTTTGGATTTAGTGATAAAAACCCAATCCCGTTTGACTTATTATCATGTTTAAAGGTTTCTCATGAACCCGATAGAAAGAAAAGAGAAAAATTAGGGCTACAACGGACTTGTGAACCGATCACTCTTTTCGTGAACGACGACGCCCTTCCTCACCTCCATCTCGGCCCCCGTCGTCTATCTCCCGTTACGCCCCGAAATCCGAACCCCAACCGAATCCAAGGGCTGCAGGGTATCCCATGGTCAGGATGAAGGGAAGAGGGATGGTTGGGATGAAGGGAAGGGGGTGGTCGGTGACTCATCCGAAGGACCCCGAGCAGACGAAGAAGAAAAAGAGCCTCGACACTGCCTCTCTGCGACGTCTCGCCGCTAAGACTGCCTCCCTGCGACGTCAGAATCCACCCATCACCGACGCCGCCTCTAGAATTTAAAAAGTATGCTTATATTGAATTTAGGAATGCTTAGATTATATTTAGGACATGATATTATACATATGCGCACTATTGAATTTAGGAATGCTTAGATTATATTTAGGACATGATATTATACATATGCGCACCACCCGATATGGCAATCCGATATTTAGTCCATGTCCCCCACCCGATATGGCAATCCGATATTTAGTCCATGTCCCCCGATATATCCCCGATTTCCGCTATCCGACATGAATTTTAGCCGTCCGATATGACCCCAACATCCGACATTTAAAACCTTGGTTATGAAAGCAAAAAATTAGAAAAAAAAAACATTTAAAATTTTCATTTGCTGGACAAATATCAGCTTGGAATTACACTTCATGCTATGTAGAGTCATGTAAAGATAAAAATCCCAGGTGGGCTTGTTATATCAGTTGCTACATCAACTATATGAACACGAATGATTCGAATCTGATTGATTCTGATTACATCTCTTGTTGTATCAAATTCCCATGCTTTCGACTTGATCCGGGTACAAGTAAATTTTAGGTATACACATTGATTTTTCTTCTTGTATATGCTTTTTATGTTTGTTGTGTATATGGCTGAGAAGATTGATGTGGGATCTTGCGTTAATGCCTGTCAATAGAGCTGTGCCTAGCACACAACAACAGTGAATTGTGAAGATTTTTTTTGGCATATGCTTAGGAAAAGTTGTATGTAAAGGGAAAGTTTTGCCTGGTGACGTAGGGGCCATAATCAGAAGGGAAAGGCATATATGATGATTACGTACAATGCATAACATTAGTCAAAAACTGAAAAATGAATTATGCAATATAATTAGAGTGTAAATTAAATTACCTCCTAATACTGAAAAATGAGTATGCTCCAGAATGTGCCTATTAACAAATAAAGAAATTCGATTATCATTTCTGTATTAAATATAAATGTGAGGAGGTAAGTTGTGAAAGCAATGCAACTGAATATAGAAATATATGTGATCTATTGAAAACAAGCTACATACTATATATATATATATATATATATATAACATACCCATCCATATTTGCTATAACTCAAAAGTAATAAAATACATATCAAATGGCATTTATAGATGTTTATAAAAAATATTAGCACTTAGTGCATCAGTCAACTGCAATCTGAACCCTCAAGAAATGCAAACCTAGCTTAAACAAACCTGTAGCTGACTTCATTTCTTACCTTACTCAGTAAGAACAAAAGAAACGGAGGATGTGGAGATCTTCACAGTGACTCCTTATACTGCAACTAAAGTTTACGGAAATAAAAATTCATGATGCACCTTTATTACATGATTATGCTCTTTCGAGTTTTTCGTGCAAATTGCTTGGTCAAGGAGTTGCCTATCAAATTTGTCATATGTTGAAAAATGCTTGTAATAGCCCTGAAAACAGTATAAATCCATGTTCAAATTCAATCCCTGTTTAAATTCAATTGGTTTCTGTATATAAAACCTCGTCATGTCAATGATAACAACTTTGTTATATTCTGTGTATCACATCTGCAGACATTCACCATGAATCTAATGAAATATCTTGTGTGTAAGATCAGTTAATAAACAAACTGATGATTGAGATCGATGATGATTTTCATTTGAGTAAAAAGAAGCTATATTGAGAAGAAAAGAGAATAAAAGAACTGGTTCGAAATAGTTTAGTATTCTCCTATTTAGAATAGCACGCTAAAGGGTAAAGAACCGAAATCGAACAATCATTTGGTATTTTACAGGTCATGGTTAGTTGAGTTCTGGTGTAAAATAGATCTAATTTAGCTGAGAAATCACAACCTTACATCATGTTGTCCGACTTTCCTGCCGGATGCCTAACTAATTGAAAACTGGGAATTTTGACTGTCATGTCAGCTGCATAAATTCAATTTTTGATTTCCCCTTCAGCCTTTGTTGTCTTTTTTTGCCATCACCAAGTGAGGGAGTGGAAATTGAGGGTTGTTGAACTTAATCATCAAGTTTGTCAAGGACATCTCTTCGTCATGTGTGGGGAAAAACTCTTCATAATTTATGTAAGCCTATGTGTGGTTGAATGCAGTTCATTATGTGTGAATTCTATGCTTTTGATTTCCCCTTCAGCCTCTGTTGTTTTTTATGTCTCTACTATTTCAGCAAACAAAGATTGTATGTCTTGACCCAATAAGCACTAGAACGTGCATATACAAGATAAACAGAATCAACTATTGGCATAAAAGATGCAGCTCCATGTATGCCTAAACAAGTGTTGCCGGTATCGGCTAGAGAGAAACTTCATTCCAGGTGCAATTATCCATTGCATTGGTCAAGCAAGTTCACAAGGCGAACTGCGTTCAAAATCTAGTATCAAGTTCATCCTAGTTTGTACGAAAAATCTCTAGCTTTGGAGTCTTCCAGGGGAAATTAATAATCGAATCATAATAAAAAGAAAACTATATTTGGTATCTACTATTTATTAGTGATGTAGATATCTACTATTTAGATATCAACATCACTAATAAAGCTAATGAATACTCTTCACATCAGTAGCTAGAAATTATTTATAAAATTAATTCTTAATCTACAAAAATTCATCAAATCCAAGTATGAATCTACAAACTCAATTGTACCAATTACAATCAATAGGAATCAAAGTATACTAATTGCAAGCATTATGAACCAAATTGTACCAATTGCAAGAGTAATGTCAAAGCCAAAGCAAGTTAATAAAATTATACCTCTGATGATGAACCAAATAAAAAAATCCTTTGCTTGTCATTGTATTGTAGAGAGAGAGAGAGAGAGAGAGAGAGAGAGAGAGAGAGAGAGAGAGAGAGAAAAGAAAATAAAAGGTGAGGTTGACTTAAAAAAGAGGATATAGATTAAAAAAGTATTTAATTCATAAGAGAGAGAGAGAGAGAGAGAGAGAGAGAGAGAGAGAGAGAGAGAGAGAACAACAAGGAGAGCTCCGGCGAACTATGATTTGATCGGAGAGCTTCGACGAACTACGATTTGATCGAAGAGCTCTGGCGCCAAATATGGAGCAAATCGAAGGAATCCGGTGTCGAACTAGGGTTTGCATCAACATCAAAATAGGGTTTGAATTGGCATCGAAATGGGCTTCGCATTAGGCTCAAACTAGGGTTTGATCTGTGTTGAAGTGGAGAGGGAAGATGGAGACGAACAAGAGCGGATGAGGGATGAGTCGAGATTTTGAGGGGAGACAACGAGCGAGATTTTCTCTCACACACTCTTGTTTTCACTAGCGCAGAGTAGAGAAAGGTAAAAAGAAAGATTATGCCAGGGGTTTTCTTCAGTGAATCTAATAATCATTTTACTTTTAGTTTTCCTTCAAATCAAACAAGTGAAAGCAATTTTCTTTTAGATCTTCTTTTCCTTTCCATTATTTTACCGCAAACCAAACAGGACCTTAGTGTTTACTTTTGTGTTTATACAGTTCTTCCATCAGATGAGAGGGTAAGATAGTTTTATGCTACGAGAACTACTAGTCAGGCAGTTTTCCCACAATGTACAGCCCGTCAATTAATATATGGCTAGCAGCATAGCCATAATGTGATCATGTTCTAGTTACGAAATTTTTTAATTTATTTAGTTATAGTTTCTCATGTACTTTTGTTTTTTAAAAATGGATCCACACATGTAGATCTATATATTTGTCGAGCTGATGAAAGAAAGATAAATAAGGTGGCAGAGGTTGATATCAAAGGTACTAAGGCACTTTGTAATCTTTGGTTATGAATAGTCTGCAGTAGACTGAGATTGTTATTTTCAATATATGAAAAACATAAAGGAGCTAAATATTCGTAAAATATACCATATGAAGGATATAGATAGGGTTTATACCAATGAAGTTATATCTTGGAATTTGGGACACATGGATACCAATATTTTCTGAAACCAGTTTCATTTTCTGTCTTTCATATTGGTTTTCAACAATCTTGGTTTTCTGGTACTACGTTGCAACACAATTTTCTGTTTATAGTATACAGACCGCACAATAGCCTATATTTATTCAAGTAGTTCACTGTACCAGATCAACTATTCGTATTGCATAATTCATTTGTAGGTAGAAGAATTCACTTTCCTTTTGAACATTTATTATCTCGGTGATTAAAGTATCACATTTGCACACCGTAAATGTTATACTATTTGATGCAAATTTTAATAAAGTCAAGTGTCATCAATATATTGTTCAATATTTTCCATGATCTTAATGAATTGTATTACTCATTTAACTTTATGCAGATAAAAAATAGTCGAGGACATGCGCTGCAATGTAGCCATTACGGGCCTGCAGTAATTCCTGAAGGGAAGACTCTTCCTTGTGTTATATATTGTCATGGAAACAGGTACTAGAAAAATCATGGTTTTCATTTTTTTAATTCTATAAATTCCTCTGCAATTATGATAAGGCACATAATTCAGTACATTGTGGCAAACTTGTATTTTCTTTTATTCAGCTTTAAGAAAACTAGGTCTGATGTAAAGAAGTCTGTTCTAACAATAAATTCTAGGAGAAGGATGCCGGAGAAGCAAAGGTGGTGTTCTAGTTGGGGAGGTAACATTTGACTGCAAAAACAAAAGTTACCACCCTGAAATACGATACCGTGTGGCATGTGCATAATTTTATGCTTACATGTAGGATCTTGCCATTTGCTCAACAAACGCTAGTCAATCATAGAGTCCAGCATGGACTGTCAAATAGAGTGTCCAATAAATTTGATCTGATCTGGGAGATAAATGGTTAGAACTTGTCAGTTTCTGCAGAAATTTGACAACCTTTTCTGCCTAAATTAACACCATCTATTAAGTTGTCCCCATTTCCTACCAAAATAGGATGAGCTACAAAGTTACCGAAATATTTGACCAAGTTTTACAACAGGCCATCAACTGTCAAACCTCTGTGCTGAGCAACATAAACTGATGCCATAGATCCTTGATGCCCCCTTGGTAGGATGGTAGCCCTACATTTTTACCACAAGGTAGATTGTTTATCATCTCCTTCCCTTTCTTATTATGATATGTCAAACTGCTGTTTGTTCCATGAGCATACTTTCTATATGATGATTGCCTTTCAGATTTTCTTTCTTACTGATCACAGTGGCTGCAGTATGTTTAGTTACCAAACAAATATCTATGGATTGCTTTTGATGTGACTCTTTCATTAACGCGATGTATATCTGTCTCAGTGGGTGCAGGGCTGATGCTAGTGAGGCTGCTATTATTTTGCTACCCTCAAACATCACAGTGTTCACCCTTGACTTTTCAGGCTCAGGACTCTCTGGAGGAGAGCATGTCACCTTAGGATGGAATGAAGTAAGTTTCTTGACTGTACATTACTCTTACGAGTTATGAGATCTGGAATTTCATTTTTGTGCTTTCTGTGGTTGACCTTATCAATGAAGAGGAATCTCTTTTAAGCAAGTAATTCCAAGTAACTAGGCGAATGACTGACAACCAAAATATCATGTTTATATTTTCTGCATTTGCGCATAAGTAAAACATTGGTTTTTAATTTTAAATGACACTTCATATTTTCATAATCTTCTTCCTGTTTTCATGCATTCTTTTAGATTGGAAAAACCGAAAAAATTAACAATGGTTCTTCATTCTAGAAAATCTCATGACATTGTTACATACTTTAGGACCTATATTGCTTACCAAGTTATCATCAAAAAGATGGATGCCACATAATAACATAAAGGCATGATTATGGACTTTCAAAATTGTATTTGACTTGATAAATCATTTCCACTAACTCATGGAGGTAAGTTGGTTCATTACTATGATGGGCCATTAAAAATGGTGAACTGTTAATAGGGGTTGGAACTTGCACACTCCAAAAGGAAAAAAATCACTATTTGAGTCTTGCTTCCGATGACAAGTTGTTCGTCTTTTTATATATTCAATATGGGTCTCCTTAAAGGCTTTTCCACTCCACCGAAGCTCACTACACCAAAACTCTAAAGTTGAGATCAAGGTTGAGTGATATTATTGACTGTAACCTAGCCCTTCTGGTCGGCGATCCTTTCCTTGTGCGACATTTTGACTCTTTTACCCAACGATACCCTTTTTTACTCTAAAATCTGCATTAAATGTATGAATGGTGGTATTTGAATCTGGGTTGCTCTAGTACCACCGTAAAGTTCCTTAAGCTCCACCAAAACCTTGAAGTTGAAGCATTGTTTTAAATATCCCCGACATGGCCCGATATATCCTCTGGTATATCCTTTTACAAGGTTTGCCGCAACCGATATGATCTCTAAATATCATTCACCTCTTTTTGGCTATTTTGGGCGATATCCCCCGATATGGCCGATATATCGGCCGATATGTGGACCAATATATCTTTTTATATGGCTATCACAAAACAACATACTGTGATTAGCAATTTTTGGGCGAGATATCATGACTTTTTCCTATTATATCAAATGACATTTCAAAAAAAAGCAGACCAAATGTTACACCGTTGACTTGTACTTTTGTTTATTTTACAATGTGAATAGTGATCCTAAACATACATTATTTACATTTAATATGCTTAGATTTCATTAAGTATGTTTAGATTATATTTTAGTGCATTATACTATATATGCAAATAGTCGTTATGGTATTCCGATATTTACCACATATCCCCGATATTTCTCCAATATTCGCAATCCGATATAAATTTTGGTTATCCGATATTTTCCCGATATCCGATATTTAAAACCTTGTTGAAGTAAGGTTGAAGGTTACAATTTTACTTGAACAAGCCTAGAGCCATCCTGTTACACCCACTTGAATAGTTGGTTGGAGTTGAGACCCTTGACATACCAAAGAGTTAGAAACCAGTTGAATCTGGGTTGCTCAAGTACCATCTTAAAGACCTTTTTGCTCCAACATAACCTTGAAGTATGGGTTAAAAAGTTACAATTTTGCTCGAACAAGCCTAGAGCCATCTTGTAACACCTACTTGAATAGTTGGTTAGAGTTGAAACCCTTACAAACATTCACCTCTAGATTGAGTCCAATTTGTTCCATTCATACGCCAAATTCCACTGGAAGCCTAGTTGTTTTAACCTATCTAGTATCTTAACTTGTTCTAAATCATCACTCGCAACCCTCAAAGGCTACAATTAATACTCCCTTGCTCTTTGATTCCCCATCCCTGATTGAAATTCATCAAATATACACTCAAAATTCCAAAAACATCTTGCATTTGAACAACTATCTTGTCAAATTATTTGTTCACAAATAAGCTCCTTGTTCCACTAATCAAATTGTGTTGACTTAGACCCATGAGTTGTCTGTTAGCTAATATGCTTGGAACTATCATGGTTGTTGATAGCGGATAGTGTCGTGTAGCGGTGAGGCATCGCTAATGCTATTTGGGGCTATTGCGACAAAATATCGATAAAAAGCGCAAAGTCAAATAGCGGTCTAATTAGGTATGTATACATATTAAAAAAAGAAATATTAAAGAAAAAACTAAAAAAAATCTAAAAGTGTATATTTGATTTCTTTAAATACCAAGTATGCAATAGTCAGTAGACATGTAACCATCACATAATACTGAAGACGACTGAAGGAGGAATTTTAGAGTTGTCGTCTTCGAGAAGATGAGTTGAGTGGTCAGAGGACTGCAGCAGGAGAAGTTTACGGCGAGAGGAGGTGAGAGGAAGTGTTGAGGGAGGTGTCGAAGACTGTGGGAGGCTGTGAGAATACGTCGGAAATTACGGGAGGCGGTGGGATGCAATGGTTGTGGGGCGGGTTTAATTTTTTAAAAAATAAACCTTAAACCACTTTTAAATAGCAATCAAAAAATGGATTTTGCCTACAATCGCTATTCACAGCTATGACACGCTATTGGCCGCTTTTACTAGCGAAAAACACATATTCCGCAATATGTACCCGCTATTAGACAAAAACGTAGCAGGAAGGGATCGCTTACGCTATTAGCGCCGCTACTCCGGCACTATTTACCAGTATTTATAACAGTGGGAACTACATGAACTTAAGAGGACAATCTTGACATAGTCTTGCATCTATGGTCAGTTAATCAGTTATCCTTCTTTAGCTCTATTCGGTCTGGTAAAAAACCCATCTCATTATACCCATCTGAACACAATTTGACGCAGAACTTTTGACCTCAAAAGTCCATAATGACATATAAACACATCATCCTCTTTATTGGATGATGTTTTGTATTTAGCTTTATGTAAAATTAGTTAGAACTCTGGTTGATTTGTAGGCCAGGGTGAGAATAGGCCACTACGTCCTGAAAAGAGAGGAGTTGAGGGAATCAGTACCAACTCCAATTTGCTAGGTAAAAGACTGTTGTTTGTTATTGTAATATATGGTTTTAAGTGAAATCTGTGCGATTACAATTTTAAAAAACGATCTAGATGTCCACCTGGATGGCTGGACCTAAATAGTACTTAGGTCACCCACTTAGGTTTTGGGAGCCCCTAGAGGACCATGGGCCATTATGCAGACTGCAGAGCTTTGGTCACTGTCTGATCTTTTCATTGTCGCCTCCACGTCTTAACCTCCCTGAGCTCCTCCACTGACTCCGAGCACCTCCTCCACTTCTCCAACCTTCAGTAAAACCTCCTCTACCTCCAGTTTAAAAATAAAAAAAGTCCGATAAGGCCCCGACTAGGTGTCTGGTCTAATGCCTACCAGTGTCCGGTGCTTTCTATAATGTTGTTGAACCTTGAACTTTGCTGTTCAAAATGTCCTGATAAACTGGAAAATACCTATCAGATTATCCGTGTCTTTTCCACATTCATAGAGTATGTGGAGATCTACTCACAAGTAAAAAATGAGGCATCCTAGACGGAAAATTCCGTCTAGGAAAATCAGAATTTCGTCTAGGATAAGTATCCTACAAACATCACAGTGTTCACCCTTGACTTTTCAGGCTCAGGACTCTCTGGAGGAGAGCATGTCACCTTAGGATGGAATGAAGTAAGTTTCTTGACTGTACATTACTCTTACGAGTTATGAGATCTGGAATTTCATTTTTGTGCTTTCTGTGGTTGACCTTATCAATGAAGAGGAATCTCTTTTAAGCAAGTAATTCCAAGTAACTAGGCGAATGACTGACAACCAAAATATCATGTTTATATTTTCTGCATTTGCGCATAAGTAAAACATTGGTTTTTAATTTTAAATGACACTTCATATTTTCATAATCTTCTTCCTGTTTTCATGCATTCTTTTAGATTGGAAAAACCGAAAAAATTAACAATGGTTCTTCATTCTAGAAAATCTCATGACATTGTTACATACTTTAGGACCTATATTGCTTACCAAGTTATCATCAAAAAGATGGATGCCACATAATAACATAAAGGCATGATTATGGACTTTCAAAATTGTATTTGACTTGATAAATCATTTCCACTAACTCATGGAGGTAAGTTGGTTCATTACTATGATGGGCCATTAAAAATGGTGAACTGTTAATAGGGGTTGGAACTTGCACACTCCAAAAGGAAAAAAATCACTATTTGAGTCTTGCTTCCGATGACAAGTTGTTCGTCTTTTTATATATTCAATATGGGTCTCCTTAAAGGCTTTTCCACTCCACCGAAGCTCACTACACCAAAACTCTAAAGTTGAGATCAAGGTTGAGTGATATTATTGACTGTAACCTAGCCCTTCTGGTCGGCGATCCTTTCCTTGTGCGACATTTTGACTCTTTTACCCAACGATACCCTTTTTTACTCTAAAATCTGCATTAAATGTATGAATGGTGGTATTTGAATCTGGGTTGCTCTAGTACCACCGTAAAGTTCCTTAAGCTCCACCAAAACCTTGAAGTTGAAGCATTGTTTTAAATATCCCCGACATGGCCCGATATATCCTCTGGTATATCCTTTTACAAGGTTTGCCGCAACCGATATGATCTCTAAATATCATTCACCTCTTTTTGGCTATTTTGGGCGATATCCCCCGATATGGCCGATATATCGGCCGATATGTGGACCAATATATCTTTTTATATGGCTATCACAAAACAACATACTGTGATTAGCAATTTTTGGGCGAGATATCATGACTTTTTCCTATTATATCAAATGACATTT